ATATATATATATATATATATATATATATATATATCTAAGCATTAGCCAAACGAAAAGGATAAAAAATATTAATTTTGGCGAAATTTTGGAGAAACTTAACGGCAGGCGCACGGCGGAAGACCAAAATGTTTTTTTCAAGTTATTGTATTCTGTCTTTCTCCACAAGACAAAATTGTTTTTTTCAGTCACTGTATTTCGTCTTTCTCCATTGAAATGAAAGGACCCTTTCATTCTCTGTTGTTTGGTCCTTGTGAATTATTCTATATATTTTAAAATATAAGTTATTTAATTTTTTATACTTAATTTTAGATAATATATAAATAATAATTAAAATTTTTTAATAAAATAAAAGTACTTAACAAGAATTAACAATATAAAAAATAAAAATTTTAATTGTTATTTATATACTATAAAAAAATTACATAATTAAGTGAAAAAAAATTAACTTACTTTGAAACAGATGTGTAAGTTATTGGTAATTGAAGTCATACATCAAAACCCACCAATGAAGTCCATGGAGATCCTAATTAAAGATGGAAGCATGACATGGTCAGTTCTGCTTTTCTAAAAGACAAATAAAGCGAATGGTAAAAGGTTAAATTGCACTTATGTATCCTCATAGGTTTGCAATAAGTACAGTTAACTCCAAATTATAAAAAGATGCAATTTATCCCATGTTGTTTAAGAAAGGTCTGAGCAGTCAAAATACCACTACAAGAATTCACTGTATCACTGATGAGTAGCCATGTTGGAAACAAGAGGAAATCTGGTCGGTGAAATAATATACCCACTTGAATCACGTCGGTGATAGGCGTCTCGGTGAAGCTGGGCTCGGTGATTCAAACACTGACGTAGATGAAAATCACGTCAGTAAACGTACCCATAATTACCGACAAAGAACATCTTGGAAATAGGAAGCTGGAACAATCCACCGGAAAACATCTCTGGTTACCACGTCGGTAAATTACTGACAAATATAACGTTTGAACGTGTATAGAAGCCTCGTGTCCAGCGCCTATCACCGATGAACATCACGTCTGATAATCTAGGAAAACTGCTTCGCAATTTGAGCCATGTTAGTAAATCATCGACAAAAACCACGTCTGAAGATCTTCCCTGTAGGATCAAATCATCTCCAAAATTTTACGCGCCAATTTTTTCAGGCGCCATTTTTTACTTTTGTTTTCCTAGTTACCGACGAGAGTCACGTTGGTAATTGAGCCTGAAAAAATTAAAAAAAA